GAGAGAGAGAGAGAGAGAGAGAGAGTGGTGTGTGTGTGTGTGTGTGTGTGTGGCCAGCTCAGCCCACCAGGGGGCGGGGCTAGCTGGCATGTGGTGCTGGGGGATCGAACCGCGGTCCCTGATGCCTTGCCAAGCTTGTTCCAAGTAGGTGCTTTAGACCACTGAGCCATCTCTCCAGCCCCTAAATTGTCACTTTTAATTTTTTTTGTTTCTCTTTATTTTTTTAGTACTTGTGATTTAATTTAGAGACTATTCACTGAAATATGCTCCCACTCCTTTTAAAAGTTATTTTTTGATGAATGAATAAACTGAATCATTTTAGTTATGAGTCTCCATGCATATTTAAAATCCTTTGCCTCAGTCTACCAGAACACTGGATTACAGGCATGCATCACTGTACCTAATTTTTCCATTTATTGTAGAAACAAAGTAAATCAATAATATGCAAAGAATAACTCCTCAATAATGTTGACTATATGGTTTATAAAGCAGTGAGGTTATTTATTGTCTTTTATATCTAGTGTGTCCATAAAAACATTTCTGTATTTTTACAAAGTAATAAATGATCTACCTATATATATGAAATCTTTCTACATGATTCCTCAGATATTCTTTCATTGACCAACCCCATATTAGGAAGCCAACATAATTTGTTAAGTCTTAAGGAAATACATAGGAAGAAAAGTACCAAATGGCAATTGGTGACACTATTGAGTCTCTTTGTCTTTGAACATGCTTTATGCAACCACTATTTAATTTTTATTTTCTACGAGGTATTTTAATACTATAATGTTTAATGCTGGTATCTTTCAAAACCATTCCATGATATGGCACTACATAATAAATTATTTTAAAATGTTGCAAAAATAATTTCACAATTGCATCTATGGATCAATTATGACTGAGGTGTATAAACAAGTAGTGTTTTGTAATATTCTTACATTCTATCACTAGTACATCAAACATCAGTTTATTTATGAAGAGGATTTTACACTTACAAATTAATATTGCTGGAAATCTTAACGTTCGTTTGTTCTGCTTTGCAATATATTTTAATTTTTGTGTGTTTTCTTAAAGAAACAGAAAGAAGCTTTTATCTTTAAAACATTGTCCCTTTTGAAACTGCCTAAATCTGTGACTACTCCACAGCTCTGTAGTTACCTCCTTGAACCTTCTAACCATGACAGTGAAACTAAACATGCAGGATGCATGATGGGACCATGTTTCATGAACGGATGATCATTAATCTAGTCTTCTTACTGATTATCCCACCTTTCTAGCTAATAAGAACTTCCAGGCTGTTCTGTCTTGCCTTTGTACTTCCTTCTTGTACATCATATAAAAGACCTAGATCACTAGAGATTGGGGCTTAATTTTTGGAAATGATCCCATTTAGGACCATTAAAAAAAATAAATCTGCTTCCAAGTCTTGGGTGCTATTTCAGTGTTTCTACTTGCCAAAGCATTAGCTTCATTGTTTTGGCCACAATGTGGAGTGCAATGCCTTCCCAGAATTAGGACACAGAAAGATCTTGTGTCATTCTTGCATTCAAAAATGAACCCTAGGTGGGACCTGTCCAGCAAATTCAGGCACAGAGTGAGTGACACCGACTTGCGTGCACTTGGGACCCCATCACCACTCCGCAGACAAACCACAGGCCCACAAAGTGAGAACTTCCCGATGTTCTTCGGACCCCCAGATCCAGTCTTAGCCCAGGCCCGGTGAGTGAGTGAGAGAGTTTCATCTCTCCCCACTCCACCTAGTCCCCTTCAGACTCAGCTCAGATCTGGCATACAGGCCTGGGGAGAAAGTCTGCAGCTGGAGTCCCTGCAGAGAGAGTAGGGGATAGAACCACACAGCTAGTCCAGGAGGAGAAAATCTTGCCAGAGGTTTACTACAGGCTCACTCCCAAGAGTAGCAGCAGGAAGGAGCTGAACACAGCGGCCAGACCCACGCCAGGCACAGTTGGATAAATTCAAACTTTGCAGATCTGCACCTCAATTTCAGTACATGCTAAGGTTGTAAATACACCAAAGCTCTACAACAAAGTGCATCTGCAGTAAAGAATCAAATGAAGACACATAAGGAGGAAACACAATGCCCACCCAGAACAAGTGAAGAGGACACTAGCTCACCTGAAATGTATGAATTAATAGTGTCAAAAGGAAATAATCAACAGCAGAAAGTTATAGAAGAGCACAGAGTGGAATTAATTTCTGAAATAAAAATAAAAGAATTCTCTGAACTCATAGCATCTAAAGTAAAGAATCAAATACAGAAACATAGGGAGAAAATCAAATCTGAAAAAAACTCTGCAGTAAAATAAATACTAACTGCTTCTAAAGAAGACTTTGATAAAAAAATTAGAGGTGATTAGAAAAATGATGGATTCCTTGAATGAGCAATACAGGAAAGAAATAGATGGCATGAAGCAGAGTCAAAGAGATATTAAAAAACTTAAAATATCAATCACAAGCGTTCAAAACCATTTCAGTGAAAGTGAAGACACAGTTTCAGATCTAGAAGATGATGGTGCAGCTAGTGAAAAGGTAAGAAAAGATCTCTTAAAAACAGCTAGGATGCAGAAAAAAGTTCACCATTGTAAGACGATGGAAAGATGAACAACATGAGACTAATAGGTATAAATGAGAAAGAAGGAGTAAATACAAAGGACATTAAAAAAATATGGACAGAAGTAATAGCAGAAAACTTTCCAAATATGAGGAAACAATCTGACATTCAGGTAACTGAAGCATACAGAAAGCCAAGTAACCTCAACCCAAATAAAAACACACTGAGACATATAATAGTCAAGATCCCAGAAATCCAGCACAAGAATAATATACTGAAATCCGCTAAAGAAAAGAAGCAGATCATATTCAAAGGAAAACCCATCAGAATTATGGAAGACTTCTCTTCACAAACCATGAAGGCAAGAAGAGCATAGAGCAGAGTACTTCAAGTCCTCTATGAAAACAAATTCCAGCCCAGACTACTATACCCTGCAAAACTCTCTTTCAAGTTTGGTGGAGAAGTGAAATACTTCCATGACAAATAACAACTAAAGAATTTCATGATAACAAAGCCAACCTTACACAGGCTCCTGAAAGATGTTATACAGAGGGACCAAAATGATCAGAACTCCACGAATGAGATCAGAAGCAACCAACTAAATAGGGAAAACAAATAAACACAGGAGAAAAAGGAGAAACAATAACAGGTAAATAACATGTCAATCATAAGTCAATATATCTCAATTATAACCATCAATGTAAATGGACTCCTTTCACCAATTAAGAGAAATAGACTGGCACAGTGGATTAGGAAACAAGATCCAACAATATGCTCTATACAAGAAACACATTTAACTCATAAAGACATTCATAGGCTGAAAGTCAAAGGATAGAAAACAATAATACACACCCTAGCATCTCAGAAAAAAAGCAGGGGTAGCAATCTTATTCTCAGACAGTCTCTACTTCAAACAAAGAATGATCAAGCGAAATAAAGAAGACAACTATACTGATTTGGGGAAAAATACTAGAGGAAGAGGTAACACTCATGAATATGTATGCACCAAACATGAGAGCACTCAACTATATAAAGCAAATCTTAATGGACAACCCATAAATTTGAAAAAACTCTTGACAAATAAGTACTCAAAGACCTGCTGAGTAGAATTTTAAAAAGGTAAAAGAAAAAACAAACCTAGGGCCCCAAAATTTAAATACACAGTCCAGAAATGGGCATTTGAGATTAACACACACTTCTCAGAAGATGAAATTAAAGAAGTTAATAAATATATGAAAAAATACTCTACATCGCGAGCTATCCACGAAATGCAAATGAAAACAACTTTAAAATAACATCTCACCCTAGAAAGAATGGCTATCATTAAGAAATCAACCAACAACAAATGTTGGAGAGGCTGTGGGGAAAAATGAACCCTTCTCCACTTCAGGTGGGAATGTAGACTGGTGCAACCATTATGGAAATCAGTGTGGAGATTCCTTAGAAAAATAAGACTGGAAATCTCATTTAAACCTGCTCTTCTCCTAGTGGGAATTTTCCCAGAGGAACTGAAAACATCATATCACAGTGATATATGTGTGCCTAAGTTTATAGCAGCACAATTTCTGATAACCAAATCTTGAAATGAACCAAGATGCCCATCACTTGAGGAATGGATGAAAAAGATGTGGTATTTTTATACAATGGTATATTACTCAGGTATAAAGAATGATAAACTGGAAGCCTTTATATATAAGTGGTTGCGACTTGAAGATATACTCATAAGTGAAATAAACCAGACACACATGTGTAAATATTGTATAGTTTCCCTACTATAAGAATTCAAGAGACCCAGTCCTAGCCCAGGCCCAGTGAGTGTGTGGGAGAACTTTCAGCTACGCTGCACCAGCAGGACCTACTGGTCCCACGCCAGGTGCAGCATGGGTGAGACCTCTTCCACCCCGTTGGGATGCCCCCCACCACTTCAGAGCACCTCCGCTACCCCACCAGCCCAGTAGGAATTTCTGCCGCTTTCTGGGAACCCCCAGACCCAGTGAGTGTATGGGAGAGCTTCCGGCTACCCTGCGCCACTGGGAACTACTGGTTCCAGGCCAGGTGAAGTGTGGATGAGACCCTCTTCCACCTCCTTGGGACGTGCCCCATCACTCCGCAGCAACTCCCCTACCCCGCCCTCCCAGTAGGAATTTTTGCCACATTTCAGGAACCCCAGACC